TATATATATATATATATATATATGTATGATCTCTGCAGTAGAGTCTGAGAATATATACTTTACCAAACCCCTAGGTGATCTTATGCATTCTAAATTTGAAAATGACACACTTAGGGAGTCCTTCATTGAGACTCTTGTATTTTGCTTCTTCCTCAGATATTAGGTCACGTCCATAACTCTAACCAACCTCGTAGTATGGATCTATCCCGATGGGTTCTCATAGTTTTCTAGGCAACATAACATGATTTTGCTCATTTTACCTAAAAATAGAATCTTTCTCATAAGCTTTCTGAACAGTTAAGTAAAGCTACAGACACTTTGACAAACATGGCAACCTGGGTCATTTGACATCAGTTTATATTATATTTACACAGCTCTGGAAATTTCCAAAGACTCTTCAAACTTATTGTGCTCATATGGAACATTCTCTTTTTTTTTTTAAGTTTATTATTTATTTCTGAGAGAGAGAGAGAGGGAGGGAGGGAGAAAGAGAGTAGGGGAGGGGCAGAGACAGAGAGAGAGAGAGAGAGAGAGAGAGAGAGAAGAGAATCCAAAGTGGGCTCTGGGCTGATAGCAGAGAGCCCAATGTGGGGCTCAAACTCACAAACTGCAAGATCATGACCTACGCCAAAGTCGGAAGCTTAACTGACTGAGCCATGCAGGTGCCCCAAACATTCCCTAGAATTAGTATAAAATAAAGCTGATACAACAAATGACTGGATTTTCCATCTTCATCCACTGCTCCAATCCAGGAAAGTCTGAAATTAGTGTAAATTTCTGGTTTACCTAAACACTAAAATTTTAGGTTGAGGTTTTCTATTCACTTTAGTATATTCAACTGCCTATTTTATGAGCACTTCAGTTGTTATAAAACTAACCTTCAGAAAAGCCAAAGGATGGGTTGACTAAGCCTCTAAGATTTCTTGCCTCTAGGTCTGAAAGCAAAGCCCTACTGATATGAAACTACTCTTGAAATCAGTGGAAGTTCCATGTATTTAAGCAGCTCTTATTTAGGTTAAAATCTATTAAAATATCCACAAGCAAAATGCAAATAAATTATTTGAATTCCACAATAGAAGACTAATTCCAGAAAAGGATTGTACTTTCCCAGAGTCCTGGAAAAGGAATTAAAAGGAAATAGTCATGAAGCTTTCTCAAAAATGATCTTCTCAACCAGAAAAACAAAAACATTTCTTACCCAGAGCTTTCATGTAATCATCAAAGTTCTCACTGGAGACGAGTTTCCAGGTGCCCAGGAATCTGTTGCTCATTGCGATGGATGAGAATTCAACACAGTTCTAGATGAGATTCAGGAGATTCAAATAAGATGCTGAAGCCTCAGAAGATTCTTTTCAAAGATGTCCAAAGCATGTGACTCTCACAGAGACCCAATGGGGAAAAGCAGTGTCAGGACTCGGCAATGAATCGTCCATTAGGACAAAAGAAAGCCCCACATAATGTTTCCTTTAGTCTCCAAAAAATTTTATAAAGATCAATGAGAGTACTATTTGAACCTTCAAAAATTTTTTTTGGTCAATCTTACATTTTTAAGAAGTGCTTAGTCCTTAATGCTTTGGAAAAGACTCCATGAATTGAATCTTATACCAAATTGAATTATATGAGCATGAATGAGTGTGTGTGTGTGTGTGTGTGTGTGTGTGTGTGTGTGTGTGTGTTTAGGCATCTTGGTCACTCTCAATCCTGAGTCTGCAAAATTAAGAATTCTTATTGAAAGAGAAGAAAGGGAGGAAAATGTCCATGAGTATTGTGATATCCGCCTCAAATATGTAGTGGGAGAGAAATGCAGGGGACCAGTGTGAGGAAGTATTCATAGGTAAGGGAGGCTTGGCATAGTTCACATATCCCAGGCGGGCTGAGTGGGCAGACAATACGGTCAGTCTATTACAACAGAGCACAGAAATTGTATTCATGGATGGACAAGAAGTAGCACCAGAACACGCTCTTAGACCGCAGCAAAGATTTTCATCTAAAAAAACCTTTCAGTCTAAATTAAGCAGGTTCTTAGTTAATATAACAACTTTGAATGTAAAGCCTTTAAAATAAATCTACAGTTTTATAAAGAGAAGGATTTTCTATATAAATAATACTAATGTATATTGAGAGTTTGTTACGGGCCACTGTGCTAACTGCTTGTCAGGGATTATTTCCCTGAATTCCCTCAACACCTCCCAGAATTGGGTACTGTTATTACATCTATTTTACCAATGAGAAAACTGAAGCTTGGGGAGGTTAGGTAACTTGGAGGTTTGAACTTGCATTGTTCCCCAGCCTGGACTCTGGACCGTTATCTGACACTGCTCCCTTTATACCACATATGCACCGAGGCCTTGGCCAAAGGTCAGATCATACTGACATCCCCATGACTAGATAGAGACATTCATTCTCACCCCCCAAATCAGTAGAGGACAAAGTCAAGAGATGAGGCATCCAGGCTACTATGGTACATCAGAGCCTCAGTCTTGACCAGGGGGAGCAGATATAAAACCACTTCAAATATAAATGTTGCTCTTGGGAATACTTTTTGCCGTCATGCCTTTTCCTAGTGGTTTTCTAGATTGGCATTAATCCTGATTGTAAGACAACGGATATTACTAGGTTTTATATATTTGTACACAGGTTGGCACTATTCACAACAGTGGGAAATTCATCATGGGGAAATATCCCATGATCAGTTTGCTCATAACAGGTAGAATTGCTGGCCTCTAGGGTTTAGGTTACAAATGTTATAGCTGTGCCATAACCATTGCACTTATGTGGTTAGAGTCCAGGTTGGGTCAAAAATATGGAATCTTATACAGTGATTCCAAGCCTCACCTTACATTACTCATGCGTGGATAACTCAAAGTGGAAATGAAATAGTGACTAGAAAAATTCCTGAGCTAATCAGCTAACCCAATCCTAGACCCAAGAGAATATAACTGGAGGAAGGATATTGTACTGGAATAGAAGAAATAGCTATGAAAAAAAGGGCTTTTGATTAGCAAATGTGTTATTTTCTTAACCAAACAAAGGAGAGCTATATGAATTTTAGGCAGTTCCTGTGTTGCTTATAGGAATAGCTGTGGATTGAAAATATAAACATTGAGCTATATATTAGCGAGGCTTATAACTTTGAAGCAATTTTAAACAAAGAAAAGAATTTTCTATTTTAGCTTATCAGCAATATACTGACTGCTAGAATTAACCAGATATATTCATACCAAAATAAAATTCTGAGACTCATATGTGAACCAAAGGCACAGATCAAAGCAATGAGAGAAGATCCAAACTAAACCAGGATTAAGATATTGAGTCACTCTTACCTAAGAAAGCTATCAATATCCTAGTGACAGAGTGGATAATAAACACCAGGGCCACATTATAACTAGATACATATATTTATACTTGAACTAAATGTAGTCTGTTTACAGCATGGATTCACCTTTCATAGATTTATTGCCTATGTAAATTCTCAAGAAAAGGGGAGCTACTTGAATCATACACTGAAGAGAATGTCCAGAGATCCAAACAAAATAGATAAAGAAAGTTTGCTCTAGATAATATGTTAGGTAAATATCTCTCACATATTGTCTTCAAGCTGTATCCCATTATATATTTGGGAAAGTGATAACCAATCATCCTATGGTAAATGAACAAAGAATTCATGATCACTCATTTGAGTGCCAAAAATCTGACTCCATTCCTTTCATTCATTTAATTGCAAAAAATATTGAAAGCCTACTAAGTGTTAGGCACTGTTCAAGGTTAAACATCATTGAATAAAATTCCATGCCCTTGTGGAACTTACTTTCTATATTAAAATTAGTATATAGTCTGAAGTTATTTGCAAAATAGCAATACTGGGATCATAACTGGGGGCAAGAAAAATATGTCAAACAATGGGTCACTATAAATAATGGTCATTTTTTAAATGTTCATGTTTTTAATAACTGAGAAAACAAAAAAGGACCTTAGAATTTTCACATCCTCATAATAGGTGAGGAAATTAAACTAACTTTACAACTATGACATCTTAGAAAAGATGGATGATTTTTTAAAAAATTCTTCAAGGCATCAAAACTACACAAAGGCAGAGAAAAATTAAGGGTCTAGGATTTGGGTGAAAAAGGAAAGCCCAGAGGAACAGTCCCAATATTTGGGGCAGATCCCTGCCTTTCTACGATCTCTGAATTCTGCAAAAGGCAAGTGAGAGGCACAAGTCTGAAGAATGTTTATAACTGTGTTACAGAGTTAGGGGAACAATGAGGGAGAGTCCTGGTTCGTCATCATGCTTTGGTTTGGGACATTGAAAGGTTGCAGCATAGGGGAGAAGGTGAATTAAACAGGCCTGTGCTAGCATCAATTCCATTCTCAAAATTAGTTTAGTATGATCTGGACAGCCAGTGAACCTCGCTACCAGCCAGAAGCAAAGGAAGATAATGTCACCGTAAGTCTAAATTATTTCTACAATTTTTTCACATACGTTGTCAATCAAAAATAAATAGAACAGAGAGACAGGAAAATATGCTCAAAAAGCAAAAGAAACAAGAGTCAATAGAGATAGATGATTGACAAAGCGGATAAAAATAAAAACAAATATGTTATAGAAAATATCAAGACCAAATTTTTTTGGAAGCGCTTTTCCATTTATTTGTTTGATAATTATTTATTTGTTTGTTTTTCTCTTTTTAAATTTTTTAAATTTATTTTTTAATTTACAAGCAAGTTAGTTAGCATATAGTACTATAGTGGTATCAGGAGTAGATTCCAGTGATTCGTCCCCTATGTACAACACCCAGCACTTACCCCAACAAGTGTCCTCCCTTATGCCCCTTACCCATTTAGCCCACCCCCCCCCCACAACCCCTCCAGCAACCCTCAGTTTGTTCTCTGCATTTAAGAGTCTCTCATGTTTTGTCCCCCTCCCTGTTTTGATATTATTTTTGCTTCCCTTCCTTTATGTTCATCTGTTTTGTATCTTAAATTCCTCATATGAGTGAAGTCATATGATATTTGTCTTTCTCTGCCTGGTTAACTTCGCTTAACATAATACCCTCTAGTTCCATCCAAGTAGTTGCAAATGGCAAGATTTCATTCTTTTTAATTGCCGAGTAATACTCTATTGTGTGTGTGTGTGTGTGTGTGTGTGTGTGTGTGTGTGTGTGTGTACACAACATCTTCTTTAGCCATTCATCCATCAATGGACATATTAACTCTTTCCATACTTTGGCTATTGTTGATAGTGCTGCTATAAACATGGGGGTGCATGTGCCCCTTCGAAACAGCACACCTGTATCCCTTGGGTAAATACCTAGTAGTGCAATGGCTTGGTCTAGGGTAGTTCTATTTTTAGTTTTTTGAGGAATCTCCATACGGTTTTCCAGAGTGGCTGCACCAGTTTGCATTCCCACCAACAATGCAAAAGAGAACCTCTTTCTCCACATCCTCGCCAATATCTGTTGTTGCCTGAGTTGTTAATGTGAGCCATTCTCACAGGGGTGAGGTGGTGTCTCATTGTGGTTTTGATCTGTATTTCCCTGATGATGAGTGACGTTGGGCATTTTTTCACCTAAGACCAAAAATGTTTAAGACTAATAAAAATTGGCAAACTTTTAGCAAGATGGACTTAAAAAGAGAGAGGGTAAAAGTTATTAATTGCAGGAATAAAAAAGGATATATCAGTATATCCTATAGTTATTAAAAATTATGGTTATATAACACAGTAATTTAAAAGATCATAAGAAACTTAACAGGAACCCATGGGGGAGGGGAAGGAAAAAAAAAAAAAAAGAGGTTAGAGTGGGAGAGAGCCAAAGCATAAGAGACTGTTGAGAACTGAGAGCAAACTGAGGGTTGATGGGGGGTGGGAGGGAGGAGAGGGTGGGTGATGGGTATTGAGGAGGGCACCTTTTGGGATGAGCACTGGGTGTTGTATGGAAACCAATTTGACAATAAATTTCATATATAAATAAAAAAAAATAAAAGATCATAAGAAAATAATAGGAGCTACTTCATGCCAATAAACTTTAAGATTTAAAAGAGACTTACAGGGGCGCCTGAGTGGCTCAGACGGTTAAGCGTCCGACTTCTGCTCAGGTCATGATCTCGCGGTCAGTGAGTTCAAGCCCCGCGTCGGGCTCTGTGCAGACACCTCAGAGCCTGGAGCCTGTTTCAGATTCTGTGTCTCCCTCTTTCTCTCTCCTCCCCTGCTCATGCTCTGTCTCTCTCTTCTCAAAAATAAATAAATGTTAAAAAAATTTTAAGAGATTTATAAACTCCTTAGAAAACACAATTTACC